GCTCCTATCCATTAAGCCCCAAGGGTAACATTACAAGTAGAGGGCAAACCTATTAGTTTCCTGGTAGATACGGAGGCAGTCTATTCAGTCTTGACAGAGCCGATGGGACCTCTAAGAAGATATCAGTCCAGGGAGCCACCAGACAAACTGCCAATTTTCCTTGGACATCATGAAGGACTATGGACCTAGGAAGGAACATGTACTAGGGGAACGCAGCTGCTGAACTGGACCAAAGTAGAACAACAGGCCTTTGAGGAGCTAAAGAAGGCTCTCGTCTCAGCACCTGCCCTAGCCTTACCAGATATCACAAAGCTCTTCCATCTCTACGTGAGTGAGGTAAGGGGCATTGCCAAAGGGGTTCTCACTCAGACTCTTGGTCCCTGGAAGAGACCTATTACCTATCTATCTAAGAGACTAGACCCTGTGACAGCAGGGTGGCCAGGGTGTCTCTGGGCAGTGGCCACCACAGCACTACTGGTGAAGGAGGCAAATAAGCAGACTCTGGGCCAGGAGCTAGCCCTGACAACACCCCATGCCATTCAGGCCCTTCCTCAAAGTGCTCCAGAGAGATGGATATCAAATACCAGAATCACACACTGCCAAGCTCTTCTCCTGGACCAGCCCTGTGTCCGGTTCCATAAGACAGTGGCCATAAGCCCTGCCAGCCTGCTTCCAAATGATCCAAAGGAACCCATTCATGACTGCATAGAGGTAACAGACACAACACTGACAGATGTCCTGCTGTCATCACCAGATGAGGTACTGTACACTGATGGGAGCAGTTATACAGGGGCAGCAGTAGTCACCCTGGACCACACCATTTGGGCACAGTTCCTGAGCTTTTGGCCTTAATCCAGGCCCTTTGATGGGGACACAGTGCCATCCCCTGGGAAAGAAGGTTACCAACTCCAACCAGAAAGGACATTATTTTAGCCTTATTTGAGGCCATCTGACTCCCAAAGGCAGTTGCAATAGTGCACTGCAAAAGACATCAGGAAGGGGAGACAATTAAAGCCAGAGGAAATAGAGACGCAGACCAAACTGCTAAAGAAGATGCCCAAAAACCAGTGGGGACTTTACAAGTCTCAGTAACCCTGCCGGACGCCCACCTCTACCCAACTAGAGGAGGAATTGGCTGAACAGAAACAAGCCATCAAAGGACCAGATGGTTGGTGGACCCTACCAGATGACAGACTGTTGGTCCCAGAGGCTCCAGGTCAGACGTTAGTTGCCCAGTTACATCAGGTTACCAACTTCTGAACTTCTGTAAGGCAGATACTACCAAGCTTAAGTAAGGTAATAAAGCATAGTCACTAAAAGAACTATCTGTATACAAATAAATGCTGAGGTAGGAGGGTCTCCCTGGGAATTCGGGCCCCAGAAAAATTCCCCAGGGGAGCATTGGGAGGTAGATGTTGCAGAGATTAAGCCACCAGCATTGATGTACAAGTACATGCTAGTTTTTATAGACACCTTCTCAGGTTAGGTTGAAGCATAGGACAGAAACTGCCTCTATAGTAGTCAAGAAATTAGATTCAGGCTGCTAGTAGTCATAAGATCAGATAACAGCCCAGCCTTTGTAGCAAGGTATCTCAAAGTATAGCTCAAGCCTTAGGACAGGCATGAGCAGGCCTCTAAAAAGTTTAATTAAATTTGTCCTAGAAAACGATGAAAACTGTATCAACCTCCTGCCCTTTGCCTTCTTATGGGCCAGGTATACCCTCTACCGGGAGAGGTCCCACCCCCGCCCCCTTTTGAGATCATGTATGGTAGACCTCCCTTCATCCTTCCCAGGGTCAGGGAGAAAATGAAAGCTGAAATTTATAACCATTCCCTTGCTCAAGTCCTTACAGGCTCTGCAGTTTACCCAGAGAGCCACCCATAAGCTTGTTCCAGATGCACTGGCAGTGCCCACCATGGACCCTGTATACCCCATCTAGCCCGGAGACTTTGTGTGGGTAAAGAAGTTCACTGCCCAAGGACTCACCACAACCTAAAAGGGACGCCATACTGTTACCCTGAGCACATCCACAACTATTGAAGTAGACGGCACCCAGACCTGGCTACAGCACTCCCAGTTCCTGCACAGAAAACGGCCTGAATCCTGGCAACCAGCTGCCTCACCAGTGAGATCCCTAGCCTAGGATCCACACAGGCCAGGAGGAGACTTGATGCCTACAGAAGGGGAATTGGACTTCAGTGAGGACAGTACTGATGGGAACTGTGGTACTAGGGGTTTTGGTAACTGTAAGAACTTTTTTTTTTTTCTTCTAGCCAGTGAGAAAGTCCGAGGATAAGTTAAGCTAAATGTAGGAGCAGAAATTAGATCAACAAATAGACCAGGAGTTAAATAACCTAGATAAATCTATAGAAAAATTAGAAGAATCGGTCAGGTCCCTAGCAGAAATAATTTCTGCAGAACAGAAGAGCTTAAATCTGTTGTTCCTAAAGCAAGTGAGACTTTGCGCAGCTCTAGGAGAAACCTGCTGTTTCTACACCAATCATTGCGGGGTCATAAGGGAAAGCCTAAGTCAGTTGAGAAAGAGGCTAGCTGACAGAGAGGAAGCTCAGAAGACTGCAGGAAACTGGTATGAGAAGTTGTACTCGTGGTCCCCTTGGCTCACCACCCTACTGACTGCCATAGCAGGCCCACTATTACTGATACAATTACTTATACGCTTA